GCTCCCGCCGCCGCCGCCAAGCGCACCCTCCACTTCCGCTTCCGCTTCGCCCCTCCTCTGTCGCAAAACCCATACGCTTCTTGATTACTAGCCCCGCCCCTTTTCCGTTCCCCTCCCCCCCCCCCCCCCCCCCGTCTTCCAATTACCACGTCCTTCCTCTGCTCCGCTCCTATAACCACGCCCCTGCCCCGCCCATTCCCGCCCCGTCTCCGTCTAGCCCTGTTCCTTGCTTCTCTAGCCCCGCCCATTCCCCCCCTCCTGTTTTTCCATTCCTCGGTTTAGCTCCACCTCTTCCCTCGTCTCGCCCCTTTTCTTCCGCCCCGCCCTCGGCTCCCGTCTTCTTCGCGCGAGGCACGATGGGAATTGGGGGGGGCGGGGCCTCGCGGCCCTGAAGCCTCGTCAGGCTCAGTCCCCTCCCGATAAACCTCTAAATAGGGTCTTTCCCCAGGACGGCTCCGGTTTTTTTTTATCACGAACACCTAGTTTAGGAGTCCTCCCCGCTGGCTTGATGATGCCAGGTCGAATGGAGCCTCCAGGCGAAGAATTGGGAAACTTACGTGATGGAGATGAGAAGAGTCTGCCAAATGGGGTTTGCTAGGGTCCAGCTCTTAAGGTCTTGAAGGGTAAGACGAAGGAGACAAGAGTTCTGTGAAATACAGCGTTGTGGTGGCTTTTCTAACGTTCTGGCTCGTCACGTGATAGTCCTGTTTTATTTTTACTAATTAAATTGTGTGTGTTGCGGAACACATCTTTTAGTGCAACCTAGTGGCGACTGGGGAAAGAACAGTAAAACCTGTTAAATGAGCTCCAGCAAGATCCTTCCTACCGAGTGTCCGTCCAACTGGTGTCAATAAACTGCATGCCAAGACTGCCGAATATTGTCACCAACGATAAAGAGTACATGATGACCTACCCTTTTTTTTTTTCTTTTTGGAGATAGCATCTCACTTGTATAAAATGGTTGGCCTGGAACTTGCCATTTAGACCAAGCTGGCCTCGATGTCAGGTTCCCTTGCCTTCTCAGTGCTAGGAGTAGAGGCATTTGTCTCGTCTGGCAAACTTTTCATTCGGATAAACCTGGTGCTTTGTTTCAAATGAACACTTTTTTGGGTGACAGGTTGGGAACGAAAAAGAAGACATGAAAGTTATAAAAACTTGGTAAAACCAAATTGTGAACTACCATATGGGTGCTGAGAATATGAACCAGGATCAACTGGAAAGAGCAGTAAGTGCTCTTAACCGCTAAGCCACCTCTCCAGCCCCAACACTTTCTGTTTTAAATGGTTAAACCATGCCCTGTATTTGCTCCCCTTCCCAACTGAGCCTCATAGTCTTCACTTTTACTTGGCCTAAATATAAGTTGGAGCTTTTCGTTATTCTTCGCTTTTTGAAACAGGGTTTCTCTGTGTAGCACTGGCTGTCCTGGAACTCACTCGGTAGGCCAGGCTGGTCTTGAACTCAGGCCTGACTCTGCCTCCTAAGTGCTAGCATTAAAAGTGTGAGCCACAATGCCTGGTTTAATGTTTTCAGGAGGGGGAAATTTCTGAAATCACCAGCTGTTTACTATTTCCTGTTGCAAATTAGGTTAAAAATTTATTATCTAAATGTAGGCACAGTTTAGAATGTGCTGGCTGCGTAGTACTTTTAAATAGTTTCTACTTAAGTCTGCCAGGGAGCCGGGTGTGGTGGCGCATGCCTTAAATCCAGCAACAAATGAAATTTGCTAACTAATTAGGAAGCATAATTGCCAGGAACATTTTTCTTCCCGAGTCTCCAGGTATGCCATGCTTTCACTGCTCTACTTGAAGTAGGATGAAGACCATGTAGCTTTCCATAAACCTGGATCAGGAGAGCAAGTTCAGACATGTAACTGAAGAATCCTTTATTTCTACTAGACTCTCCAGAAGGCACACCCGAGGTGTTTGTTACTGCTAAGAACAACATTGTGTCTGTGTGTAGACAGAATTTTTCCAAGGGAGAATTAAAACTGATGAAAAGGATTCTAGTTGCTGTTTGTTTTGCTTTTAGTTATTTATTTATTGGTTTGGGTTTTTTTTGTTTTGTTTTTTGTTTTTCTTTGAGACAGGGTTTCTCTGTGGCTTTGGAGCCTGTCCTAGAACTAGCTCTTGTAGACCAGGTTGGCCTATGAACTCACAGAGATCCCCCTGCCTCTGCTTCCCAAGTGCTGGAATTAAAGGCATGCACCACCACTGCCCAAATCGCTTTTATTTTCAAAGTCTCAAACAAGTAGGTGTTTCTTTTGCCTCCATTTTATTCTAGCTATTTCTGAATACTGACAATATTAACTAAAAATATAAAAAAGGGAAAAAAGTAATTGTGATGTTTAATTATTTGAACAAGTTTTAGCCACAAAACATAAAAGAGGGAAGACATTTTCCTTGACTTTGCTTGACATTTTTTTCTATTTATTTATTTCTACAGTTTCCTGCCTGTAGGCCAGAAGAGGGCACCAGATCTCAATGTAGGTGGTTGTGAGCCATCATGTGGTTGCTGGGAATTGAACTCAGGACCTCTGGAAGAGCAGTCAATACTCTTAACCGCCAAGCCATCTCTCCAGCCCCTTGACATTTTTTTCTAGTCAAGAAGTAGGCTAGGGTCAATAAGTATTGTAAGAAATAAAGTCACTCAGGTAGACTAAAGAAAAGGCCTAAGAAAATGAGAATCATAAGTACTTTTAAAAGCACACAGATTGGGGCTGGAGAGCTTCACAACCAAAAAGACTCTACTTTCTCTACAAACTAGGCCAAGGACTGAAAAAATAGCCAATAGCTCTTCTGAAGGATGGGGTGTTGGTGGTGATGGGTTATTTCATTCTGAGTGTCCAGTCCAGGGTGATCTGACACCTTTTTTGTCCTCCCTGGGCATTGCACACACATAGCACAAGAAGGAGACCACACCCTCCGTACATCAAGGGTTCCCACCCTGACCTCAAATTAAGCACAAACCACATCCAAACACTTGTTTTCACAGCAAGGTCCTTTATAGGCAGAAAAACGGCAGCAAATGACCTTGCATGTGTGGTTTTTAAGAAGAGAAAAAGGGTAGTCTGTGTTAGAATGAGCTAGGATGCCATAGTATATTTTGATTGGGCATGTTAGTTAGGTGATCCAAAGTTTTGATTGTTGAACTTTAACACTTTGATAGATGATTGGTATTTGATTGTTTCCTGAAAACCACTGAGGGAGGGGTGGGAGTGGGGCTACTGGAAAGATGGCTCAGCTGTTAAGAGCACTACCTACTCTTCCAGAAGACCCAAGTTCAGTTCCCAGCACCTACATGGAGGCCCATAACCCAGTTTCCTCTGGTTTCTGCAGTCATCAGGCATGCATGTGGTATACATACACACAGACAGCACATCCAACACATAAGTTAATAAATAAATGAGAACATACTTCTTCAGTTTGTTTGATATAGGCACTGGGGTTCCTGTGTGTGCCTTTGAGTTCTTTTAAGGAACTATGGCGGAGTCACAAAAGAATTAAGAGACAGGTCACCCTAATAGGAGACAGGAAGCTTTACTTGTGTAGTGGGCAGAACACTGTAAGGGTACACAACAACAACAAAACCAAAAGAACACCACAGTCTGAAGCTCCTTTTGTTAGCTACAAATCAAAATACCTTTGGCAACTTACTGGATTTCCTGTAGATTTATTTTCTCATCTTTTAAACAACTACAGGAGGCTGGGATATAGCTCACTGGTACAGTGCTTGCCTAACATGGCCAAGGCTCTAGGTTCAAGACCAGCATTGCCCCAAAATGTAAGATCATTATGCTTTTCTGTGACTCACCAGTCTATCAAGCAATAAAGTTTGGCATCTGAAATTGGGTATATCTTTACTGTGTTAAGCCTTTGAGATCAGATTTTTTTTGGTTTATTCACCGGGTTGTAAGATTACCTTGTACCTAATAGTACTCAATAAATATATTAGTGAACAATTAGGTTGTTTACTGTCAAGAATTAGGTAGGCCTAAGATCGCAGCAAAAAATAAGGCTGAGGCAAGATGCTCAGGAATTCGAGGTTAGCCTAGGCCACATATGAAAAAAACAAACACACAAAACCAACAGAGGGCTAAGACAATTCAGTTGGAGGAGCACTGCCTAACATGCCTGGAACCATGCTTCCATCGCCAGCACCTCAAAAAATTCTCCAGTTGGCACACACCCACACCCATAATTCTAACTCGGGATGTGGGTAAGACTATCAAAAGTTCAAGGTTAGCCATACAAGAAGTTAGAGGCCAGTCTGGACAATATGAGACAGGCTCAAAAGACCAGCGCCACCGTCATCTCCCCACAAAAAAACTTAGCATTGTGCCTGAGACGCATGGTCGTTTAACTAAATAACATATTGTACTTACTATTTACAAAGCACCCCACAATTGTTTTACAACTTGTGTAGCCATGAGCAAAACCCTTTTTATCCACGAGGAATTAAATATCTTGTCCCAATATCTCACAGTTAATAAGGGGGAGGGATACAATTCAAAGACAAGTTCTTTTACACTAAATTAAACTGTTTAAGAAGTTATTGTTAAAGATTCTATTTAGGGTGTAAAATTGTGGGACGAACAAGGGCCCTGTGGGCTGGGCGAAAGTTTGTTGTTTTCTATGCCAGTTTTGTCTCAGTACGGTAGTATATATAGCATTTCTGGACTTGGGTAGGGCGCTTTCAAGTGAAACCCGATACCAGGTACTCCTAAAGCCCGGGGTTCTTTGACCAACTGCACCTTTGTCTCTTCTTGGGCAAGAGCAAGAGCGGATAAATGCCACCAGTGTAAAGGAGAGGCGTGCGGGTGTTCCTGGGTGCGTGGCACCGCGTGCACGGAGCCGCCTGCACGCCCTCTCCACACTCGTCTTCCGGGCCAGCAGCCCGCACCTCCCGCGCCCCCTCCCGCCCGGCCCCACCGTAGCTTGGCGGCGACGCGCCCCGGCCTAGGGGGAAAAAGTTTCCAAACCTCGGTTCTCGGCGCTGATTGGCCGAGCCAGACGCGTCCCGAGCGCGGCAGCCAATGGGAGACGTGGGCAGCAAGGTGCGGACGGGGCTGGGACCGCGGTCGGGCCCTGTTGGCCCGCGCCTAGCCGGGATCGTCGTCGCCCGGGCGGGGTAAGTGAAGCCAGGTTGCGGCCAGGGCCTCCCAGGTCCGCAGCACTCGGCGGACGCGTCCCCCAAACCTGACCCCCAGCTTTCCTCCTTCCATCCGTGAGCTCCGCCGCTCGCCCTGGCCAACTCTGTTCCTCTTCTGCCCGCCCCTTCCCTTCCTCAAGCCCGGCGCTTCGCCAGCCCCTTCATCCCACAGTCGCTGGGTCCCCAACTGCTGTCGCACGGGTACCAGCCTGTGTCCAACTTCCCCCACAGTGCCTCTTGGGTCTCGGCCTCCGGACGTTTCATATTTCTGTAGACATCACTTGGGATCGGATAAACTTTATCCGATAAAGGGTGAGAGTGCTTACTCCACACCTTGGATGTTGGCCCAGCTCTCTAACCTTTTTGAGGTCGTGGGATGACTCCGGAGCGACTTTATCTTTTCACCAAGTCATCTCGGTTTTGTGCCAGGCTGTGCATGCTCCTGCTTTTTACCCGGAACCTTCCTAAACTTCCCTGATAAAGAAGTCTTTTGAGGCAGGGAGGAGGTTTGTAATTTTCGCTGCCTGCTGTTTTGTGTATTGTGTGCTAGGATAACCTCTTAGAACTGGGAGTCTGACACAAACTACTCTCCAAACCTAAGGTTATCTGAGCATGCACCACTCACTCCTCCCCCACACACTGGTATTCAAACAGCTTTGAGATTTAAGTAATTCCTTTTACAGCGTTCCATATGGAGTTAAATATCTGTGGCCAACCAACCCCTTTGAAGTCGTAGGGGTCTCCGATTTTTATATTTTACCTCGACTTGGATAACAGTTTGTTTTCTTGTAGATATCTTGTAGATATTGTTTTTTCTTCCAAAGTGTGTTCTGCCGTAGAATTTGTGAGTAGTGAGATTAAAGCCCCGTTCCTTCAGAGGGCATTTCCCACTGTGAACCTCTACAGCCTGCACTAGGGTTGCACCGGAGGATGGAGAAGCTTGGGATATAGTCCAACTCTCTGTGGGTGTTAAAGAAATGTTTGAAATGTTTGAAAAGACACGGAGGGGGCTCAGACCACAGTAGGAAGATTCCTTGGCACCTTGATCAGTAGAATAAAATGACCTCCAAACAACAGTTACTCTGTTTTTATTCTTATTCAAATATAAGCGCCCCCCCCCCCCCCGTACGGAGAGTGCATTCAGGCAGGGCTCAATTTCTGAACTACATCCTTAGCCTACCAAGTGTAACCCTTTTAAAATTTCAGATGCAACCAATTTTCAGCTCAAAAACACAGTTCTCACCTCAACAGAATAATACAGTTTTTCTAGAACCCAGTATAAATGACAGTGGCCCCATAGCACAGATTCGGTTACTCTTGGTTACTTGAGATCTTACTGGTTACAGAACAAATAAAGTAAAAAGTTAAGGTGTTTACCAAATTCAGTGCTAGGGTCACAGCAGGGAAACTTCCTCCAGTGGAAGCTACTGGAGGTCTGCTTAGAACAAGTTTTAGGTTTGATACAAGTCAGATACTGGGATGGGCAGTGAATAGCTTTCAAAGGTGCTGAAAATAGCACAAGATAATTCGGCTCTGATCTGCAACATTTAATTTTACATTATTTGGTTTGTAGAATCTGTAACAAGGTGCAGCCAGCCTGACTTCCTCCCTTATGGAAACTTGAGTTCACAATGTTTATTGTAAATTGTATTTTTTTTTTTTTTTTTTTTTAGTTTCTTTTTACCAAAAAGACCATTGTAAGGAAGTGTGTCAGGTACAAGTATGTTAGCGCAGTGCCCGATTCTCGCAGCGCTCTGGCACTGTCTATCCCTGTTGCCGAGGAGACTGCCCTTCTACTGCAGTGTATATAGTTCCTATTTAACGGCACCACCGTTTTCCAGTTGTCTGCTGATAGTTCTCCATGTTAGAGAATGGTGAGGACATGTCCTTGCATGTCTCCGTACTTGAAGAGCTTGAAGACAAGCTAGGTCTACTGACTCTTGGTGTGTTTTGCGACAATGACCTCTCTTCTGTAAGTGCACACTGTACCATCATCATGCAGATTTATGTGTGAATATTTGGCTCCTTTCTCGTCCCTGCTTCTCCCTTTCAGCGTTTCTGTTGTTTGTTTGTTTGTTATGAGACAGGGTATCTCTGTGTATCCCTGAATTTCTCTGTATTGTCCTGGAACTCGCTCTGTAGACCAAGCTGGCCTCGAACTCAGAGATCTGCCTCTGCTCCCAAGTGTTGCGATTAAAGCCATGGTCACCCTCCACTTGCTTTTTTGATAATTTTATACAGTGTCACACTCAGCCCTGCACTCTCTTGATCATTCAGCTCTCATGTCTTGTATTGGTTTTGCTTTTGCTTTGTGATTTACTAGGGCCAATTCCGTCTCCACCTTCTTTTTTGAAACATGGTCTCTCAGTGAATCTGAGCTCACTGATTCGGCTAGACTGACTGGCCAGCATGCTCTGAGGATCCTCCTGTTTCTACCACACAACCCTTCAGCACTGGGGGTATAGCCTAGCTTTTTACATGAGTGTCGGGGTTGAAACACAGGTCCTCGTGCCCACTGAGCCCTCTCTCCCCCTTTTACTAGGTCTCACTGTGTTGTCCAGGTTGATTTCAAACCTCTGACATGGTCTGCAGACCTCCTTTCCTGGTCTCCCAAATGACACCACTGCACCAGACTCCTGTTGCTTTCTTAGGACCCCTGGACTCTTCTCCCTTCACCTTTATTCTGACTTCTTTTTTTTTTCTTTTTCTGGATCGTTGCAGAAGATCCCCATTTTACACCTGGGCCCCCGCAGCCAGCCGTACCACCAGGCTGAACTTGTGAGTTGGAGAGTCCACCTGTCAGTATCCTCAGTGCCCCAGTGGCTCCATGTGGCAGCCAAGCAGTCCTCTGTTTCTCTCCTTTTTTTTCTTCCCTCTTTCTGGTGCCTTTCTCTGTGGCCCAGGTTAGCTTAGGATCTCTCCATCTTCCTGCCTCAGCTTCTCAGTTGCTGGGATTACAGGAGTCTACCACCACACACGGTGGGCAGTAAATTTGTTAATGGCTTTGAAAAGTCTCCTGTGGGTTTTAGCCCCTGGGTTTTCATCGGCACTACTCTTTCCCCTCCTGCTGTCAGCCTTCCTGGACTTCCTCCCCTACCCCCCCCCCACCACCACCACCACCAAGTCTAGCTCCTTCTCTAGTACTATGTATTCAGTGTCCTTTTTTCTCCTCCACCTACTTTCCTATTCTGGTTTTCTTTGAAACAGAGTCCCAGGCTGGCCTTGAACTTGCAACCTTCTTGCCCCTGCTTCCTGAGTGTTGGGTCAGGAGTACAATGCTCATCACTTTCCCATTTCACAGGTACTCAGGGGTCAACTTCTTAGGAACTCAGCCTTGACTTCCAGGTTGGATTTTGCACTCTGAGTTCTCAGATATTGCAGGAATGCATATCACAGTGCTGCTGGTGGCTTCTCAGGGACACATCTATGTCCAAACTCAACAGGGTATATACTCTGCACACCTACCCATTTGTTGTAGGTCACCTCCTGGGCAGAGCTCTGTCCCTGTGCTCACTGAGGGCTTTGTAGTAATTTACATGTAATTTGCATATTCTTCCCCCCACAAGTCTCATCGAGAGGAACAGGAATATAGATAATATCTTATTTGGAACTGAGGGTCTTATACTAGGCAGTAAATGTGGGAACATATACATAAGCCCTGGGCTGTAGCTAGAGGTAGGACCTACTTTTTATTTAGCTTTAGATTTTGAGAAAGCACACCCCCCATTTGATCTAATATGAAGTTCAGGGCTTTTAAACTTTAATTTTTTTTTTAAATTAAAGACTGTTTACCCAGAAGTCACTAATGATTTCTAAACTTTTCTCCAGACATCATGTCACAGGGAGAGTGAGCTCTTGCCCTTTCTACCATGGAGGACTCGGGAAAGACTTTTGGATCAGAGGAGGAAGAAGCAAACTATTGGAGAGACCTGGCCATGACCTACAAGCAGAGGTCAGTACTTCTGTGCCCCTCACTAATTCCTCCTGGGAGGATGGTGGCTGCCTCTTCTATAGGTCTATCATGATGTCTGAAGCTGACATTACTGACCCATGAAGAAACTAGGATCACCTTGCTCTACAGAGGCCCTTGAGCCTTAGGGAAGGCAGACAATCTGCCTAAGACCACAGCTGGGAGAGGCAGAGTTGGGATTTGAACCACAAATACCTGAGGAACCTAACCATCCTAACATCTCATTGTGGTTTCTGGATGGGTCTTTATCTATTCTTAGATGTCAGGTTTTTTGTAGGGGAGAAGATTTACCTGCGCCTTGAGATGGCTCAGGGTTAAGAGCACTTGTTCTTGCAGAGGATCTAGGCTTAGTTCCCAGCGCCCAGATGGTGCTTCACAACCATCCTTAACTCCAGTTTCAGGGGATCTGATACCTTCTTCTGACCTCCTTGAGCACCAGGCATGCAGACAAGACACTCATACACATAAACTATAATTGGAAAAGGGTAGGCTCATTTTAAAATTTGAAGCTGGTGTTTCAGTGTACATGTCTAAGAGTGGTGTGTGTGTGTGTGTGTGTGTGTGTGTGTGTGTTGGGTTTAGCACTTTGCAGTTCAGGCTAACCTTGAATTCTTGAGCCTCTTGTCTCTGCCTCCTGAATGCTAAAATTACAGTTGTGTGCTTCAATTTCAGCTCTAATTACCTATCTTCTTGTCCATAAAATGGGAATAACAGTGCCTGAATAAAGTCTTGATCCACACACGCTGCTGCAGCACAAATACCCAGCATCATTCTGTGATAAATTTATTTGCAATCCTACTACAGGGCCGAAAATACACAGGAGGAGCTCCGAGAATTCCAGGAAGGAAGCCGGGAATATGAAGCTGAATTGGAGACTCAGCTGCAGCAAACTGAGACCAGGAACCGGGACCTCCTGTCAGAGAATAACCGCCTTCGAATGGAGTTGGAGACTGTGAGGGTGAGGAGCACAGGAGACATGTCTACAGATAGGAATGTCTGTTGTATGGCTGAAGAGGCAGTCTTAGAGGGTGAAGTGACTGTAACCAGGCCACTCCCTCCTGGAATCCTGTCAGGTGTCTGTGGTTATTGCACATTTCTTGTCACAGGGGGTGGAAATTGGTGAAAAGCAAGTCACACACATGGCCTACAACCCTTCTTGGTGGTGGTCTGTACTGATTTTACAAGGCACATGGTAAAGAGAACTTATCAGAGGCTACAGTGTCATTAGAATTGCAGATTCTTGACTCAGTCAGGTAGTCCAGGCTATGACCAGCTGAGAGTGGACAAGTAAAAAATTAATTCTTCTACTAACACTGGCCACAGGTCAAATGCCACTTGCGACTCATGAGTTTCCCTTCTGGACACATGAATCACAAAATATCATCTTGTAGAACATTCTCTTGGACCATGCCGGTCATAAGCCAGTTTATTAACTGGGCACTGCAGTAGTTCTGCTTGGACCACTTGTCTGTGGTTTTGTTTTTATGGTTTTAGTTACCAGTGACCAAACAACATCCAAAAATATTAAATGGGAAATACAGACATAAACAATTTATACATTTTAAATAACTTTTATTATGGTGTAATGTTATAATCATTCTATTTTGTAATTGTTAACTTTTTTTTTTTTAAAGATTCATTTATTTATTATGTATACAACATTCTGCCTCGATGTATGCCCGCATGCCAGAGCAGGGCGCCAGATCTCAGTACAGATGGTTGTGAGCCACCATGTGGTTGCTGGGAATTGAACTCAGGACCTCTGGAAGAGCAACCAGTGCTCTTAACCTCTGAGCCATCTCTCCAGCCCCAATTGTTAACTTTTTTGTTTGTTTGTTTGAGACAGGATTTCTCTGTGTAGTGCTGACTGTTCTGGAACTCACTCTGTAGACTAGGCTGGCTTTGAACTCACTGATCTGTCTGCCTTTGTCTCCTAAGTGCTGCGATTAAAGGGGTGCACCACCACCATCACCTGGCTATTGTTAATTTTTTAGTTTGTAAGCTAAGCTTTATAGGAAAACATGGCAAACATGGGAATAACAAAGCATATATAGGGTTTGGTGGTGTCTAATGTTTTGGAGGATGCTGCAGAATGTCTTGGAATGTGTCCTCTCAGATAAAGAGGAGGCAGGCACTATGTTGCTTAAGACTGGACATTGTTGTAAGGGGCCAAGCTTTACACTGTAAGACAGTGAGAAATGCTTCTGGCTTTCATCGTCCAGAAACAAATAGCACTCCTAACTCCTGAGTGTGAGACAGTCAAAAATACTTCTGAGCTGTCGAGATGGCTCAGCTGGTAAAGGTGCCTGCCACCAAGCCTGATGCCCTGAGTTTGATTCCTGAGATTCACGTGGTGGAGGGAGAGAGCTGAGGCCTACAAGTTGTTCTCTGGCCTCTGTATCCAGGGAGTAGTTCTCTCCTTCCGTCGTGTGGGTCCCAGTGATCTAGCTCAGGTCGTCAAGCTTAGCAGCAGTTGCTGTCTCCCCAGCTCAGTTTCAAAGTTTAAAATTATGTATTTACAGGGGCTGGAGAGATGGCTCAGAGGTTAAGAGCACTGCCTGCTCTTCCAAAGGTCCTGAGTTCAATTCCCAGCAACCACATGGTGGCTCACAACCATCTGGAATGAGATCTGGTGCCCTCTTCTGTCATGCAGGCAGAACACTGTATGCATAATTAATAAGTAATATACACATATTATTACCAAGAGCTAAAATTTTTGAAGCATCTCAGAAAAATTAGGATTTCTAACTTCCTTTGAGAGATAGAGACCTGGCATCATAAGGTCTCCATTGTCCACACCAGTGAATGGGTGAGCCCAGCCTGTCCTGGTCACTGTATCCTGATACCAAGGACTGTCTCTTGCTCCTTGTCCTATGCAGAGTCCAAATTTCTTTTTTTTTTTTAATATTTATTTATTATGTATGCGATATTCTGTCTATGTGTATGCCTGAAGGCCAGAAGAGGGCACCAGACCTCATTACAGATGGTTGTGAACCACCATGTGGTTGCTGGGAATTGAACTCAGGACCTTTGGAAGAACAGTCAATGCTCTTAACCTCTGAGCCATCTCTCCAGCCCCAAGAGTCCAAATTTCTTGTTGGCCCTGGAAGTATTTTCATTTGACCCTTGAAACAGGCATGAGGAATTCTCACATTGAAGGGGCCCCAGGGCTGGAGGCTGTGGGGAGAAAGGTTTGTGGCTCAGGGAACCATAAGAGACCTTCCATAGGGCTGCATACACACCCTTCAGTTACTGAGTAATTGTATGCTTCAAGGCAGAACCTTGAGCTCGCAGAAAAACTCTTCTGGCCAGAGGCATGAGGCTCAGCACACAGACTGAGGGAAATACTGTGGAGAAAGCCTGCACACCTACGGCAGGTGTGTCAGCTGCTGCCTGTGAGGCATCAAACAACACTTACCGAGGCCTCCATCAGCTGACAGCTTTTCACAGTAAATCTCAGATGAAAGCTCAGTGAGACAGCAGTTTCCATGTCCCAAATTCAAGCTGTCGGAATCTGTACAGGCAGGCAGAGGATCCGAGTCTCCACATCTTCCTGGGATCAAGGTAAATGATCTAGGATCCAGTTTCTTTTTGCTTAAAATGTAGATACTTGCTCTCTGATCCTTGCCAGGAGACCCCAGCAGCCTTAGGATGTTAAGGCTCTTCCTTCATGTCATCTTGCAATCATTTAACAGACACTTTGGTCATTCTTTTGTGACCTCATCCCTCTCTCAGGCATGGGCACCATGATGTCATTTCCTGGCATGTCCGACTGATTCTCATAACAGTTTTGTTTCTTGAATCTAGTCAGGAAGAGGAACTAATCTCAGTCTGTCTCTCTCTCTCTCTCTCTCTCTCTCTCTCCCCCTTTCCCTCTCCCTCTCTCTCTCTACTTTCTTAGTGGCCTGCATGGAAATTGCTTGGTATTCTTCTTGCTTTAACAGTACATGCCCTAGTGGCCCTGATCTTGGCTAAGTTATTTGTTGCAGCTCAACCTTGGGCCAGGCAAGTAACTGAATCTTAGTTTCTATATCTCTCACGTAGGATCAGATAAGTTAACACATACCAGCCCAAAGGCCGGGTGCACAGTCAGCACGAGCTAACCTGTAAGGTGTGACCCTGACTAGTCCTTGGTCTTAGAAAGTACTGAGCTTCCCTCCCTTACACTAGGGAGTGTCGTGGATCAAAAAGTTAGGATGGTTGTCACACTAAGTATCCAATGTCTCCTTTTCGGAGGTACACGCAACCGATATCATTCCTGCTACTTTTCTCAAGTACAGTGCTCGTGTGTAAAGTAGGGCCATTTTGAATTGTAGCTGAGGCCTGGGCAAGTGTACACGCGGCTTCCTTTGGCTGTGGACACCTTGAATGAGGGTTGTTGGGCACTGAAGGGACCAGGTGAGAGAGGACAGGATGGCAAGTGCTAAGAGGATTAGCAGGCACGTGGTTGGAAAAGTCAGAGCGTACATACTTTGAATGACTGTCACTTACTCCCACCATTTTATGTAGTCCCAGCTAGTTTTATGTCACCTTGATACAAGCTAGAGTTCATCTGAAAGGAGGGAACCTCAAGAAAATGTCACTATAAGATCTGACTGTAGGGTATTTTTTAATGAGCGAATGATGGAGGAGGGCTCAGCCCATTGTGAGTGGTGCCAGCACTGGACAGGTTCTAGGTTCTATAAAACACAGACTGAGCCCGACAATGGTGGCGTGCGCCTTTAATCCCAGCACTTGGGAGACAGACGCAGGCAGATCCTGTGAGTTCGAGGCCAGCCTGGTCTACAGGGTGAGCTCCAGGACTACAGCGAGTTCCAAAGCTACACAGAGAAACCCTGTCTTGAAAAAAAATGTGCAGACTGAGCAAGCCTTATGAGGAGCAAGCCAGTATGCAGCACTCCTCCATGATCTCTGCCTCAGCTCCTCCTCCAGGTTCCTGCCCTGTTTTAGTTATTGTCCTGACCTCTTTTGATGATGAACAGTGATATGGAAGTGTAAGCCAAATAAACCCTTTCCTCCCCAAGTTGCTTTGGCTGTGGTATTTCATCACACCAATAGGACAACTGCTTCTCACCTGAAATTTCAGGTCTGAGGAAAGAAGATTCTGTTGACTGAGTAGGGGAGGTTGGGGGAGGAAGCGTAAAGCAGCCTTGCAGGAGTGGTGTGAAGCATAACTCAGGGAACTGAAAATGAAGGGAGAAATATTCCTTAGGATGTTGGGGTCATGTTGAGGATGTGCCTCGTTGTAGACTGAGAACCATCACCTAGCACACATGAAGCCCTGGGTTTAATCCCCAGCACTGCATAACTGGGCGTGGAAGCTCATGCCTATAGCCCTAGCACTTGGGAGGTGGAGGCAGGAAGATCGGGACAAGACTGTCCTTCGCTTCTTGGGTACTTAGCTGGTTTGACCAGTTTGGTACACACTAGACAAAGAAGATAAGATATTGTTGCTAAGGTGGGAGGAGGGGGAAGAACTTATTTTCAGTGCCTGAAGCCATCAAATGTCTTCTGCAGATAGATGGCGCTGTCCAGGAATACCGTCCCACATTTGTTGTACTGGGTGTGAACATGGTTTGTCAGAGGCTTCAGTCACCGACCTGGCTTCCATTCTGTCCTGCAGGAGAAGTTTGAAATGCAGCATTCAGAAGGCTACCGACAGATCTCAGCCTTGGAGGATGATCTGGCTCAGACGAAAGCCATTAAAGATCAATTGCAGAAATATATCCGGGAATTGGAACAAGCCAATGATGACCTGGAGAGAGCCAAACGGTAGGTAGGCGAGGAAAAGGTCTGCGAGGCAACAAGTACAGAATTGAGTGTGATGACCTTGGTGGTGAGCAAAACAAAGCCCTAATCGCATGGGCAAGATGGAGCATGTTTACTGTTTCTGGTGTCTTCCCACCTTCCTGAAGATGTGAGTTTCTGTCTGTTCTCTTCTTCCTCCTTCAGCTTGAAAGACTACCCTTGGGGTTTTTTATAGGGTGCGGTAGGACTTTTGCTTACCTGAAAATGTCTTTTTCTTTGCCTCCATTCTTGAATGCGTGTGTGCATCCATGTGTGCCAAAGGACAGCCTTGAGTATTTGAGGTTCTTACCTTTCATCTTAGACTCAGGGTCTCCTTACTTATTTATCTGTTTATTTGAGACAGGGTTTCTCTGTCTGCTCTGGCTCTGTGCTCTGGCTGTCCTGGAACTCACTTTGTAGACCAGGCTGGCCTCAGATTCACAGAGATTTGTCTGCCTCCGCCTCCCAAGTGCTGGGATTAAAGGTGTGCGCCACCTGCTGCTTTTCACCTTTATTATGCCTACTTATTTCTCCTTATGGTTAGAACACAGTGCCAGTCCAGTTTGGTTTTCTTCAGTTTATTCAACCTTTCATCTTTTCCCCTAGGGTATTAAACTCAGTTCCATTGCATGTTAATTTCTTATTAATCCTGGCATCCATTTGTGGATTTATATTTGGTTCAGTCTATAGTTTGTGGTATGTGTCTTGGATAGTTTTATGTCAACTTGACACAAGTGAGAGTCATTTGAGAAGAGGGAGCCTCAGTTAAGAAAATACCTCCGAAAAGGCTGTAGGCAAGCCGGTAGGGCATTTTCTTAATGGTGGGGAGGTCCAAGCCCATGTGGGTGGGGCCATCTTTGACCTGCTGGTCCTAGGTCCTATAAGAAAGCAGGCTGAGCAAGTTGTGGGAAACAAGCCTGTAAGCAGATCTCCTCCTTGGCCTCCGCATCAGCTCCTGCCTTCAGGATCCTGCCTTGCTTGAGTTCCTGCCCCAGCTTTCTTTAGCGATGAACAGTGATGTGGAAATGTATGCCAAATCGGCCCTTCCTCTCTAAACTGCTTTGGTCATGGTGATTACACACAGTAGTAGTAGCCCTAACTAAGACAGTCTGTGAAGCCACATTCTGAAACACACAGACATACTTGATCAAAAGCAAATAAATCACTTGGTCACACTGAGTATATTCCACCCACAGTGAGGCTTCAGCAAGGGTTTGGGTGAAGGGACAGATGGAAATTGGGACCAGTAATGCGGTTTCCATGCTGGACGGTGGTGGCGCTCACCTTTAATCCAGCACGAGAGGCAGAGGCAGGTGGATCTCTGTGAGTTTGAGGCCAGTCTGGTCTAGTCGAGTTCCAGGATAGCCCAGGCTACACAGAGAAACCCTATCTTGAAAAATTAACCAATCAATCAATCAATAAATAAATAATGCAGTTTTCCACAAGAAGTTAGTACATTTGCATAGTTCAAAACTAATACAGGAGGGAGTAGAGAATTCCCAGACTTAGTCTTATTTTTTTTTTAATTATTTCTTTATTGTGCATTGGTGTTTTTTGTCTGTATAAGGGTGTTAGGTCCCTGGAACTGTAGTTAGAGACAGTTGTGAGCTGCATGTAGGTGCTGGGAATTGAACCTGGGACCTCTGGGAGAACAGTCAGTTCTTAACCACTGAGTCATCTTTCCAGCCCCGTCTTATTATCCTTAATTATGTGTATGTATAAATGCACCTGTGTGTGGTTACCTGCAAAAACCAGAAGAGGCTTCAAATCCCCTGGAGCTGGGGGTCACAGGAGAAGGTGAGCTTCCTGCTGTGGGTGCTGGGAACCAAACTTAGTTCTTTGCAAGAATAGCAAGTACTTTAGCACTTTTAACCACTGAATTATCCTCACCAGCCAAGATGGTTTTTTTGTTTGTTTGTTTGTTTTTGTTTTGTTTTTCTTTCTTTTCTCTTTTGTTTTGTTTTCAGGACAGGATTTCTCTGCCTCTGGAGTGCTGGGATTAAAGGCATGTGCCACCATGCCTGGCTTGTTTCTTTGAATTTTTTTTTTAAATACTTATTTGTTTATTATACAATATTCTGTCTGCATGTATGCCTGAAGGCCAGAAGAGGGCACCAAACCTCATTACAGATGGTTGTGAGCCACCATGTGGTTGCTGGGAATTGAACTCAGGACCTTTGGAAGAGCAGCCAGCGCTCTTAATCGCTGAGCCATCTCTCCAGCCCAGTTTCTTTGAATTTTTAAGAGGTTTAAAACTTTTTTGTGCACCTTGTTACAGTGCTTATAGAGGTCAGGAGAGGGCATTGATCTCCTAAAATTAGATTTACAGAAATTCTGAGTTGCCGTGTGGGTTCTGGGAATTGAACCCTGGTCTTCTGGAAGAGCAAGCAGTGCTTTTAAACACTGAGCGATCTCTACAGACCCTTTTAAAAAGATTTTAATTGTATCTCTGTATATGTATATGTAGGTGTCAATGGATGTCAGAGGTATGGATCCTCTGGAGCTGGAGTTTGTGAGCCACCTGACATGGGTCCTGGGAACTGAATGGGGGTCCTCTGCAGGAGCAGTGTGGTATATAGTCTTAACTGCTGAGCTATCTCTAGGAGTTTTTGTTTGTTTATTTGTTTTTAATGGAAATTCAAACAAACAAAAACCAAATACTCTGTCATGAAAGTGGCAGGGGCTCATGAGACCTCTTTGCCTTCCCGAAGATTGACAGGTAGTTAATGGCTACAGCTGAGGCTTCCCTTCAGCGAGGCAGCACTCTGCAATATACATGCTCCTGGAAGCAATCACATTGGCTCATTGGGTCACACACCCTAAACAATGGAATAACACAGGAGGGAGTGGGGGACAGAATAGGATAATGAGTGGTCATGGCAAACATGATCAAAATAATGTTCATGTATGAAATGTTATAAAGAAATCTTTATGTATAATTAACATAGGCTGATAGAATAAAACAAAAGGCATTGTTATTCCTCCACCTCCAGTTCCCCATAACAGAACACTTTGTACTCAGAGTTGAACATCTTGCTTTTTCACTTAACAATGGGCGCTGAAGATATCTGTCTATTGAAGGACAACAAAACACCCTTGTTCATCTACTGAGGCTGACATTGGTGACTGACTTATCCAGGCTCTTGGGACTGCATGTCTTTACTGATCAGTGCCTCTGTGATAAACAACCTCCTATGATGTGTACCTGAGCAGTGGGATCCTGTCTGAGGACACACGCCTATGTGACTTGGATAGGACCAGTTTATATTCCCAGTGGCTCTTTACCAAATCCTCGTTTTCCAATTTGCCTCCTTAACACAGTGATTATTAGGCTTAGAATTCCTGCCAAATAGATGAGAAATGGACTCACCTCAGCTTTGAATTCTAGAAGACCTATAGCTATGGTATTCCTTTTCTGTTGAATTCTAGAAGACCTATAGCTATGGTATTCATTTTCTGTTGAATTCTAGAAGACCTATAGCTATGATATTCATTTTCTGTTGAATTCTAGAAGACCTATAGCTATGGTATTCATTTTCTGTTGAATTCTAGAAGACCTATAGCTATGGTATTCATTTTCTGAGCTACATTCTCATTCTTTTTCTCTCAGCCTATTTGTAGTAATAGGAGCGGTGGGGCTGCGTCCCCGGCACCCGTCCACATGGCTAGCTTATGCCCCGAAATAATTACACGGACATTGTATTCTTTTAAACACTGCTTGGCCCATTATATCTAGCCTCTTCTCGGCTAACTCTCGCACCTGGACTAGCCCATTTCTAATAATGTGTAGCACCGAGGTGCGCTTATCGGGAAGATTCTAGTCTACGTCCATCCTGGGTCGGAGCTTCATCACGTGTGCCTCAGAGAGCAGAGCTCTCGCGTCCGCCCGGGAGAGGGAAGCATGGCGTCTCTCTGAGCTCACTTCCTCTTCCTCCCAGCATTCTGTTCTGTTTACTCCTCCCACCTATGTTTTAACCTATCAGGGCCAAGCAGTTTCTTTATTGCTTAACCAATGAAATCAACAGATTGATATATTACACTCCCACATCACCTATTTCCCTCCCTTCCTCTTTTTCTCTCTTCTAATTCAGTATTTGGAATCAAATCCAGAACTAAGGTGGATCTCTGAGTTCGAGGCCAGTCTGGTCTACAAGAACTAGTTCCAGGACAGGCTTCAAGGCTACAGAGAAGCCCTATCTCAAAATAAAACAAAAACAAAACAAACAAATGAAAAGCACACTGGGCAAGTGCTCTACCACCGAACTACATCTCACACTAGTTTATATATTTTGAAGTTAGAGTTTTGGGGACAGTAGAGAGAGTTTCATGTAGCCTAGATGGCCTTGTACCCACTCCGTAGCCAAGGATAGCCTTGAGATTCTGGTCCTTCTGCCTCTACCTCCTAAGTGTTAGAATTCAAAATTTGTCACCCTACCTAGTATGTTGAAACTGGATTTGTGTGGGTATTTTCATTGCTTCTAAGAGACTTTCATCTGTTTGTCTTTTACATGAGTCTAACGTATCTGGAGTTTCTTTTGGTTTTGTCTGATGTGTGCTTTAGTTAGTGTGCATGGGTTATTTGACTTTTGGGTATTCAAGACAGTCACAGTTAGGAGGGCCTTTTGTTCTCTAGTCTTTTAAAACACTTGGCTTGAATTAGGTGTGATGGCACATACCTTTATCCCAGCACTCAGAAGGCAGAGGAAGGCAAATACATAAGACACTTGGCATGTGTTTTTATTGTTTTTTTTTTTCCTAGTTTGGGAGGTGCAGGGATTGAGACAGGGTTTCTTTATTTAGTCCAGGCTAGCCTTGAACTTGTAACCTTCATGTGTTAGCTTCCCAAGTGTTAGGATTACAAAGATAAATCATTACACCTGACCTGTTTTGTTTTTGAGACTTCATAGAGAGGTGTGAGCTTCCTACCTGTAATGATTCTTTACCATTGGTCTTTCAAGTCTGTCTCCTTCTAACAAACAAACAAAAAAAAAATTACACTTGCCAGGAGAAGGCGCCAGGTGCCACCATGCTCAGGATCCCAACTCCGGTCCTTGTACATGTAGCAGTTGCTTTAACTATTGAACCATCTCCCTAGCCTAGGGGACCAGTGTCTTTACCCCTTGGGCCTCCTGAGTCTTGAACACACATTTGTTTTCCCAGAAGCATTCATGTCCTCCATCTAGATCCCTATTCTCTAATTGAATGCTTTCCTTTTGTCACTAGATAGGCACCTTAGGTAACTTGAACAAACAGGTACTAACATGATGCTTTGTTTTGTTTTATTTTTTTAATTTATTTACTTATTATATATATAAGTGTTCCTTCTGCCTGTACACCTCCATACCAGAAGAGGGCACCAGATCTCATTACAGATGGTTGTGAGCCACCATGTGGTTGCTGGAAATTGAACTCAGGTCCTCTGGAAGAGCTACCAGTGCTCTTAACCTCTGAGCCATCTCTCCAGCCCCTCTAACATGATGTTAATAGGGAATGTTGAATAAGTTAATAAATTCAGCCTTCCACTACAGTTGAAGACCCCAGCTTACACGGAGGATTCCAAACCTGCTTCCTACTGCAGAAAATGCAGTTGCACTACAGCTCCCCAGATGCCTTAAAGTGCCATCATGAACCGGGTGGTGGTGGCGCACACCTTTAATCCCAGCACTCCAGAGGCAGAAGCAGGTGGATCACTGTGAGTTCGAGGCCAGAGTTCTGGTCTACAGAGCTAATTCCAGGATAGTCTCCAAAGCTACAGAGAAATCCTGTCTTGAGAAACCAAAAGAAAAAAAAGAAAAAAAAAAGTGTCAACATGAGCTTTAAAAGCCCATGGTTTACTGTTTAGACCACTTTACTCCTGCTTCACGTCACAGAGATGTGTTTACTGCCCCTGCTTTCTGTGTGAGGAAACAGATTCAGAGAAAGTTCTGGGCCTGAGTTAAACACTGAATGGATTCTTCTTATTGTTGTTTTGAAGTTACAGCCCTTCTTGGTGCCTTTACCACCATTTATCACTGTGTTCTAGTGAAATACCTACCCTGTTCACAAAGCAGTGTCTGTTGGGGGGCAGCTGGATGGGGGACCGAATGCCCAGAGCTTTGGAAGCACAAGTGTGTGCACATAGAGGCAGGGTGGCAGAGGTCAGCAGCAGGTATTCTCAGTCACCCGTCATATTTTTGAGACAGGGTCTCTAGGTGAATCTAGGGCTCCCTATTCTGGATAGGCTGGCTGGATGGCTAGAAAACCTCCTGATACTGGGATAATAGGCTCATGCTGTGTACCCAGCTTTTTGTGTGGGTGTTGGGGGATCTTAGCTCATATAGATGCTCAAGCACTTAGTGACTGCCACATCTACAGTAACACTTTCTTGACTTTAAAGTCACTAAGGGATTAGTGCTGGACTGTGTGTGTGTGTGTGTGTGTGTGTGTGTGTGTGTGTGTGTGTGTTGGACTGTTCTGAATGCTAATTAGCATTCCTAGACAAGCTAGAGCTGGTTGCTGTCAATGATGGGCCAGAGCATGTGGTGCTACGGACAGGGCCTTAGATCATCACTAAGGGCCATATGGAAATCATTAGACCTGACCCACAAGACAACTTGTTCTCAGCTCTAATGATCCCATATTTTGTTGGTGAAGAACTTGAGGCCCAGGAAGCTGACTTGACCAGGCCTGTGGTATTTAGGACCAACCAGGGTTGCCTTTTGTCACATTTTCCAGGCCTGCAGATACCAACACATGCTGCCATTGCTATCTTGGATAACTTTGTGTTTCTTTTACCCAGAGCCACAATCATGTCTCTGGAAGACTTTGAGCAGCGCTTGAATCAAGCAATCGAAAGAAATGCCTTCCTGGAGAGTGAGCTGGATGAGAAGGAAAATCTTCTAGAATCCGTGCAGAGGTTGAAGGATGAAGCAAGAGGTCAGAGACTTTCCCTGTCTTCCCCCAGCATGGTACCGTTCCATCCAAGACAATACTGTCCTTGTCTTTGCCTAGCACTGCCTTTCCAGTTAATCTGGATCTGTTCTGTACATAACTGGGCCTCACAGAGCAGAGGCGCAGCTTGCCAGGATGGGTGCTCCGAATTGTCAGCTGCTGATGGGGATTCCTGGGATGACTCAGAAACCTCATGGTTTCAGGAAAAGCCTTGGGGTTGACAGATCCAGCTTTGTTCTTGGGTTTGTCCTACTTGGTTCAGAAATGAACCCTTGGGGAATGATCCCACCGATACCAGGCAGGCTTGAGGCCTGGCAGAAACACAAGGGTTTCTTGGGGGATAAAAATGCCATTATATTGCTGGCCAACTTTTGACTGTTGTTCCAGGCATGAAGTTTTCACACTAATGAGAACTTCACTGGTGATCCATCCAAGCTGAGTGCTTAAGAGACTTTGTTCCAAGTCCTAATTTCTTGTTTATTATTTATTTTTGTTTTTCAAGACAGGGTTTACTGTGTAATAGCCATGGCTGTCTTGGAACTCCTTTTGTAGACCAGGCTGACCTTGAACTCATAAAAGTCTACCTGCTTCTGGCTCCTGAGTACTAGTATTAAAGGTTTGCACCATCATGCCTGTCCATTCTTCCTTTCTTTTCCTCTTCCTTTTTCTTTCTTTCTTTCTTTCTTCCTTTCTTTCTTTCTTCAAAAATTTGATTTCCAATGGTGTAGTTACTAGGTAAGGTTTTAAAAGCAGCAGTCAGGGCTGGAGACATGGCTCATCGGTTAAGAGCACTGGCTGCTCTTCTAGAGGTCTTGAGTTGAATTCCCAGCAACTACATGGTGGCTCACAACCATCTATAATGAGATATGGTGCCCTCTTCTGGTCTGTAGGCATACATGCAGGCAAAACACTGTATACATAAAAAAATAAATTTAAAAAAAAGAAGAAAAAAGTAACAGTCAAGTTTAAATAGTTTTAGATTTCAGAACATGTTGGATTCCATTAGGAGTACTTGGTGGAGCTGGGCATGTTGGTGCAAACCTGTGATCCCTGCACTAGGGAGGAGAATCAGTTATTTAAGGTTATCCATGGCTTTATAGCAAATTCAAGACCAGCCTGTTCTTCAGAGACCCTGTCTCAAAAACAAAATAAAGCAAAACAAAACAAAACAAAAAAAAACAAACCATAAACAACCAAGCAAGAAAGCCCTGGAAGGGAAAATTCTCGATTGGTAAAGTCAATCAAATATCACAAAATTTTAAGAGCGCTGAAATCTGAAGCACATCTGTTCCAAACAGGTAAGAGCCATCAGTAATGAGATGCCAATAAATCATAGGAATTTATTTTGTGGAGTGTTAAACAGTTATTAAAATGAGTGGGCATTGGTAGACATGTTGTCTTGGGAAAGATGGGCCAGACCCTTCACGGAAGGGGAGGGAATTAGTCAGAGGCAGGAAGTGGCATATCCACGGCTAATGCTTCCTAAAGTCACTTGCATTACATGCAATAGGAGCTCACAGCACATGTGAACTATGCAGAGGAGGTCTGCAAAGGTTGGGTGGACACGCGGAGTCTAGTGCTCAGGAGGCTGACTCAGGAGGATCAAGTATTTGAGCCCGTCCTGGATACTTAGCAGAAAGACAGTCATCTGTGTTATGCCCAAATCACAGAAACCAACTAGGAGACCGAGTCCTGAGTGTAAAAGCAGAGAGCTTTTATTCTTACACACGCTTGCAAACTCGGTCTCTCCATGTGTTCAACATGTTGGAGTGATGGAGACCAACCCCCAGCTCAGTTGGGGTTAGGTTTTTATAGTAGCAAAGGTGGGGGTGAAGGATTTCTAAGGTTCAGGACTCCTGATTGGTTGACATTTGTCTAGGGGTGTCCTGGTGAAATGCCAGGGTTAAGTGCTGGCAGGCGGTCCTTTCTACTATGGTTGGAACGTTAGAAATTTCCTTTGGAAGGTCTATTCCTGGGTGATGCGTGGGTGGTCACAGTTTGTGGCCTTTCTTGAAATCAGGTATTGCCTTAGGGTAAACTACTGAGACTTGGGCCTCTGTTGAGCTTGTCAGGGCTGGGTCCTACAGTCTGCTGCTCCACGGTTCACCCTACTTTCTGAATTACTTTCCCTTGTACCTCCTCACTCTCCGCCATTGCTGAGTACACTAGTCTGACTCAAAGATGTGGCTTTCTCTCTTCCTTTTCTCTTAACTTCCTTCCAGTAGCTGCTAAGATTTCAAGCTTGCCTGCTTGGGTTTCTCTTTTAAAGTCGAATAAAACTGTTCCCAAGTTTCAAAAAGAAAAGAAAAAACAACAGCACACAGAAAAAAACCAAAACTTGGTCACATGTTCCAGAGGGAAGGGCCCTGGGGGGTGGAGAGTGAGTAGTTTCCCCTGGGATTCTGTCTGTACCTCAATGTGAAGTCTTTCTGAGCATTAGCATGGTGAAGCATGTACCATCGTTTCGTGTTCTTCTGTATCCTGCAGAAAGGAAGTGTGTTGTTTTGTGTAACTGTTAGGAGGACGTGTGGGTGTCCCGCTAGTCAGGGTTTCAAGGTTGATTTCTGGGTTGTAGCCCTCCTGTTTTGGCTTCATCCTCACCCAGAAGAGAGGGCTCACATTCTGGCTCCTTTCCCGGCATAGATCTGCGTCAGGAATTGGCTGTGCAACAGAAGCAAGACAAGCCCCGGACACCCTTGCCAGGCTCTGGGGAAACCGAGAGGACAGACATGGCTGTACAGGCTACAGGCTCTATGCCGTCCACTCCCATAGCTCACCGAGGACCCAGCTCTGGTTTAAACACACCAGGAATATTCAGACGTGGTAAGGAGATGGGGCAAAGGGAAAAATTTTCCTTGATTCAAAGAGGCCAGACATGGTGATGCAGACCTCTAAGTCCAGTACTTGAGAGGCAGAAGCAGGTGGAGATCTGAGTCCAAGACCAGTCTACATAGTGAATTCCAGGATAGCTAGGGCTTTTTTTTTTAAATATTTATTCATTTATTATGTACACAACATTCTGCCTCGATGTATGCCCACACACCAGAAGAGGGCGCCAGATCTCAGTACAGATGGTTGTGAACCACCATGTGGTTGCTGGGAATTGAACTCAGGACCTCTGGAAGAGCAGTCAGTGCTCTTAACCACTGAGCCATCTCTCCAGCCCTAGCTAGGGCTTTGTAGAGAGACCCTGACTCAAAATGAATGAGTGAATAAATGAAAGATTTGTCCTGGTGAGAACCTAGTGTGGGTCCTGGGTAAGGTGGTGTGGATCTAGCTCAGGGTTAGGGAGTTGTGTGGGGATCAGTCTTGGCATGTTGCCCAGATAAAATAGTGACCAGACTCAAAGGGAAGGTGTCAGCTTTTGTCCCCACCCCCACAGTTGGAGTTTGGTGACATTGGTCCACAGACTATATAATACTGTGTGACTTGTGCTTCTTGTACACCCAGGTCTGGACAGCTCTAACAGTGGGACCCCACTCACACCTGCAGCCCGAATATCAGCCCTAAACATCGTTGGGGACCTGCTTCGGAAAGTTGGGGTAAGCTCCAGCCTTTGCAGGGTTTTTTTTTGAAGGTTTTCTAGACAGAGCCTCTCTTCCCGCTTTCACAGAGACCTGAGTTTTAGATGTGGCTAGACCTTACATCATTAGCTCATGAGACGAGACCTTACATCATTAGCTCATGAGACGAGAGTTTCATATAGAGGGATCAGGTGCTCTGAATCCAGGCATCTTCCGTTTTTCCTCCCAAGTAGTTTGTCTGTCTCTCAGGCCCCACACTAGCAGCCTTCTTCCTGCCTCACAGTCCCCAAATTCTGAGACTGTAGTTGTGGGCTTCCAAGCTAAACTGGAAGTTCTTTCTTAATTTGAAAAAAAAAAAAAAGTCCAAGAGCTATTTAGAAATGGGTCAGTTCTTTTTCCCCACTCTCTCTGTCTGTCTATAGAACATCTTAAGAAGCAGAGCAAAGAAACAGCCTTGGCCTTCCTGGCTTTCTGCTAGTCACAGGGAGGAGCTTTTGTCCTCAGGCAGCCACACAGAATTCTTGTAGCTGTTCTTTCAGTTTTAGAAACTATGCCTGAAGGCCATTTAATGTCAGCCTGGCCTGAGGCAGAAAGAGAACACACACACACACACACACACACACACACACACACGCACGCACGCACGCACGTGCACTGAAGGTCTGTACCTCTGTGAATTTTTAGGTTTGTTTCCTCCAAGTTCAAGACCTCGGTTGACTCTCTTTGCAGGTTTGATGAAGTAAACAAGAGAACGGTTCCAGAAGATGATTATTACTATTCTTAGTATTTGGTGAGGGTAGTTCTTTTTTGTTTGTTTGGTTTCTGGTTGTTTTTTGAGACAGGGTCTTTCTATGTCACCTAGGCTGGCCTAGAACTTATAGTAATTCTCCTGCCTCAGTCCCTAGAGTGCTAAGATTGCAGGTGCACACCACGCCTATCTCATTTTACTAGGTGGAGCTAATGATTTTCTGGGAAGCTTCTGAATATTTTAGGGGGTAGTTTTAGTCCTCGTAGACACACTGAATTCCACTGAGGACCCCTCAGAATCTTGGGAACACAATTTAAGTGGTTTTCTCTTCCCTGGCTCCCACCTTCTACGTGTTTTTTTTTTTTTTTTTTGATAGTATCTTTCTGTAACCCTGGCTGTCCTGGAGCTCACTGTGTGACCTAGACTGGCAAGGCATCTGAAACCTGCTCTGCCCGGACTCACACAGATCTGCCTGTTCCTGCCTCCTGAGGGCTGGGATCAAAGATGTGTTCCATCATGCCCAGTGGCTCTCAGACTTTTCCGTTCCTGTCTTTTTTGTTTCCTTGAGGGGTGGGGAACGCTGTGGCCCAGGCTGGCCTCGAATTTGCTAAGTAACTGAAGATAACTTTTAACTTCTGATCCTCCTGTCTCTTCCTCCTGAGTACTGAGGTTACAGGTAATGTTGTACCTTGTTTATATACCGCTGGGGATCAAACCCTGTGCTTCATGCACTTGGCAAGCACCCCCTCCCCCAGCTGGCTATTTCTCCAACCTCCGTCTACACCTTGACTGATGAAAGTGTGTTTCTTCCCAGGCGCTGGAGTCCAAACTAGCATCATGCAGGAACTTGGTGTATGATCAGTCCCCAAGCCGAGCAAGTGGACCAGCCTCAGGGCAAGGAACCAAAAGCCGAGATGGTGGTGACAGGTGGCCAAGCAGCACCAGTGTCAGAGATAAAGGGTCAGTGCAGACGCCAGCCCCAGCCCCACATGGTCTCTAGTTTTAAGGCTATAGGATTATTGCAGAAAACCTTAGCCTCTGCTTCCAAGCTAGCCTTGAATAAGCCCTTTGCTTAAGGCCAAATTAGATAATACCTGAATTTGGGCCAGCAGACAAGGAGAGAGCACTGTTTGTAGTGTGATTTTGCACTGTGAAGAGGGCTGTCTGGATCCTTTGTGGAAAGTTGCACTTCCCCTAGAGCACTCTGTGAGTTTGGCTCCACTGTGTACTTGTGTATGCGGAGGCCAGAGGTCAGCTTTAAGTGATGTTCCTTAAGTGCTGGCCACTTGATTTTTGAGACAAGAGTCTAACTGGCGTGGAACTCGTCAAGTAGGCTAAAAGCCCCAGGGATCCACCTGCCTCTGCTTCCTCGGTGCTGAGGTCAAAAGCAACCTCATGTCTGGCTTTTTACATAGGTGTTGGGGATCAAATTTAGGTCCTGATGCTGCAAGGCAGCACTTTTGCCAGTTGAGCTATTGCCCAGCCGGACCAGATTCCTGGAACAGCCACAGGGATGGACACAGCGCTGAGTGCCTGCACTTCTTTTTTTTTCTTTTCTTTTCTTTTCTTGCCTAAGGGAAGCCCTAGATCTTGGGATTCATCAAAAGAAACCTGCCTGGCCTTGGGGCCCAGGTGTGAGGCAGCACGTGAGGGAAGTGAATTCATCCACAGCCGCACACTTAGCTTCTGGACCTTTAAATACAGATTTTTTTTTAAGTGTATATATTTATTTTTGAAACCAGGCTTCACTGTGTATCCTCGACTGGCCTGGGACTTGAGGGGCTGTGCAAACCAAAGAGCTGCCTATCTCTGCCTTCTGTGTGCTGGCATTAAAAGCATGCATACCACCATGCCCAGTCAAATTTTCATTTAAAATAAAAATTTTAAATTATTGTGTGTACACATGTGCACAAGTCTGTTTTCCATAGTGCATGTGTGAAGGTCGGGGACAACTGGCAAAAGCCAGTTTTGTCTGCTGTGTGGGTTCTGGGATTCAGACTTTTAGGCTACCAACAAACATCTTCACCTGTTGAGCCATCTCGTCAACCTTGATTTTTTTTTTTTTGATTTATTTATTATGTGTATAGTAGTCTCAGTATTCTGTCTGCATGTATGCCCACATGCCAGAAGAGGGCACCAGACCTCATTACAGATGGTTGTGAGCCACCATGTGGTTGCTGGGAATTGAACTCAGGACCTTTGGAAGAGCAGGCAGTGCTCTTAACCACTGAGCCATCTTTCCAGTCTTTAAATTTTTTTTATATTTATTTATTTATTTATTATGTATACAATATTCTGTCTGTATGCCTGAAGGCCAGAAGAGGGCGCCAGACCTCATTACAGATGGTTGTGAGCCACCATGTGGTTGCTGGGAATTGAACTCAGGACCTTTGGAAGAGCAGGCAATGCTCTTAACTACTGAGCCATCTCTCCAGACCCCTTAATTTTTTTTTTTTAATTCAAAGAATTGAATTAAAAATTGGGAAATGTTGCTCAGTAGACATACGTCCCTGGGTTCAAATTTCAGCATTCCCCACCCACTCTAAATGAAGTGACCAAAAAGTAACAGTTTTGTGGGATCTTCTGAGATACGGTGCTTTTTCTGTAGCCTTTGGAATCAGGGAACCAGATAGCCAGTATCCTTTTCTTCATTTCACAGGAGAGAAAGCTGAGACCCTGTGAGACATTCACCCTTAGAACCCTGGGGTCCCTGTGCTAGCCATGGCAAACTCCTGTCACGTCTGCTAAATGTTTTTGTCTGTCTGAAGGTCAGGAAAACGCTTGGAGTTTGGGAAGCCAGCCTCACAGCTCTCCTCACCGGCACTGCCGTCCACCCAGGGTGTGGTCAAGCTTTTGCTTTAGGAGCAATGGGAACTGCGCCCTCACCTCTCCTGCCCTCTTCATATTTAGCTTTTGGTTGTGCCGCGCAGCCCAAGCTGACTAAGGCTGTTGGCTGTGGACTCAGCAGCATTGCTGTGATGTGGCCCAGCCCCTGGCAGTATGCGTCATACAGATGAGCTGGTTCCTCACCCCCACCGCCCTCCAGCTCTAAGGTCTGGTGATGGGGCCACCCTGTCATTGGCTACCTAGAGTTTTAATGGCCTCCAGAGGTGTTTTGAATATGCCTAATCTTCAGGGGGAACAAGAGCCCAGCTAGCTCAGGAGCTCTCCCGCAGCCTACATCCAGCTGAAGCTGTCTTCTGGAACATCCTGCCAGTGCTTTACAGCATGATTAAATTGTGTCGAGAACTGGGAGATCACAGAAGCATGGGGCTGTTTAAACCATGACCGTGACCATGACCTTTGCAAGATGGGGTGTCTCTGTGTAGCCCTGACCGTCCTGGAACTCACTATGTAGAGCAGGCTGGCCTTGAACTCAGAGATCTGCCTGCCTCCGCCTCTCAAGTGTGCACCACCACTGCCCAGCCCTTTCACACTTCTAATCTGCCTCAGGAAGATTTTCAGAGGTGTGTCTGACTCCTCTGGTCAGTGGGAGATTATGCTCTGTAGATAAACCCAGCTTCCCATCTCTCCTGAGCTCTTACCTTGATGTTGGGGCGACTTCTGCATCACAACCATGAACATCTTGGAGTTGGACTGGGCTTTGTCATGCCATCCCTAAGAACAAGACTTCTATGTCATCATTCTATGTCTATAGAATAACAAGAGTGACTAAAACATCAGATTCTCAGCCACTGGTGGTCGCTCCCTTGGGATGTAGAGAAATGAGCACAGAACTGCAACACCAGAGCCTTGTCTGGTCTGTCTGGGGTGAAGCACCACCTCCTGCTTCGGTCCACAATGAGAAATGCGCACTGATTTCCAGAGCTTAGCACCCTTCACTTCACTACTAATGCATTTTTTAGTAGATGGGGCAAACCTGGCCTTGAACTGAACCTAGAACTTTCTGAGTGCTGCTGACATTCACAAGGTGGTTTTAAGCTGTGTGACCATTTGTTCCCCTCAGACATTATAGCCTGGGAAAAGATGGCCTTTATTTTTTTATATTAAAAAATAAAATCAAAAGAAATGCCTGCTTTACTTCTGTGTGTTTGTCCTTCCATGTTTGCACATGGCCCTAAAGTTCATTTTTTTTGTTTAGCCAAGTAATAAAATAATGGAGGAAAAACATTTTGTGTGTGGGTATATGTAGTTGCTTGTGTGGATTGGAGGCGTGTGTTCACATGCTTGGGAATCAGAAGCCAATATCTGTTATCTTCTTCAGTTCTATGGGTGATGTATATAGGTGTGTGGGTGGGTGTGTGGGCACATGTGTGCACAGAGGTCAATGTTTGATGTCTTACTTTTTGAGGTGGGGTCTCTTATTAGACCCCAGTTCATCCATTAGGCTAGGCTGGCCAACAAGCTTCAAGAATGACTTTCTCTGCCCTGCCAGGTGGAGTTGCACAAGGGTGCTGAGGATCTGGACTCAGGGCCTCGTGTTTGCAAAGCACCTTACTCATTAGATCTGTTTTTAAAATTTTTCTATTAAAGTCAACTTTTCAGCAGTGATTTTGGGAAAATGTTTATATGTCATTCCAGTTATATCAGCACTTGTGGGAGGACTGGCTTTTTCAGCATTTTAGTATCTATTTCTTGTCTCTTTTATTTTAAAGTCTGTTGAGTTGGGCTTTGGAAAAGTGTATGTGGACTAGAACTTTTACAGTAATTGGGAATTAAAGGTCCCTGATGTGCTTCTGTAGTTTCTTCATGCTAAGAATGATTTCTTAAATGTTTTTTTGGGGTGGGGTGAGATAGCCTTAGACAGCTTCCAAACCAAGGACTATAGGCGTGGGCCACTCTGCTTTAGGTGTTTGGGGTTTTATTTTTTAAACAGTTTTGCTCGAAGGTGAATGTGTTGTAGAGAAAGATGTGGCCTACAAGTCTGAAGTATTTACTTTTAAATCACCTTTATTGGTGTATGAGGGAGTATATGCCACCACACTCACGTGGTGTGAGTGCCAAGGATTAAACTCAGGTCATCGGGCTCACACTGTCATGTGGTGAGCACCCGCCATAAATACTATGTGTCTAGATTTCTTTCTTTTTTTTTAATTTTTTTTTATTTATTAAAGATTTCTGCCTCCTCCCCGCCACCTCTTCCCATTTCCCTCCCCCTCCCCCAATCAAGTCCCCCTCCCTCGTCTGTCCAAAGAGCAATCAGGGTTCCCTACCCTGTGGGAAGTCCAAGGACCACCCACCTCCATCCGGGTCTAGTAAGGTGAGCATCCAAACTGCCTAGGCTCCCACAAAGCCAGTACATGCAGTAGGATCAAAAACCCATTGCCATTGTTCTTGAGTTCTCAGTAGTCCTCATTGTCCACTATGTTCAGCTAGTCCGGTTTTATCCCAGGCTTTTTCAGACCCAGGCCAGCTGGCCTTGGTGAGTTCCCGATAGAACATCCCCATTGTCTCAGTGTGTGGGTGCACCCCTTGCGGTCCTGAGTTCCTTGCTCGTGCTCTCTCTCCATCTGCTCCTGTTTTGGACCTTGAGATTTCTGTCCGGTGCTCCAATATGGGTCTCTGTCTCTGTCTCCTTTCACCGCCTGATGAAGGTTAATATTCAGGAGGATGCCTATATGTTTTTCTTTGGGTTCACCTTCTTATTTATGTGTCTAGCTTTCTGAGGGATTTTGCTGACCTGCTCTGCTGAACAAAAATATTGTAATTTAAAGAGATAAGAAACCTTGTGCTTAAAATATTGGTTGACTGTGCTGCCCTTGAAAGACTTGGGACCAGAAGTACCTAGGACTTGGTGTCTTTAGGACGTTGTGATATTTTTGCAGCCTGGAGGCAAGACCCAGTTCTAAACACAGAATTCACTTGGCTTCCATGTATGCCTTCTGTTTTTTTTTAAACTTTATTTTGTGTGCATTGGTGTGAAGGTGTCACATGCCCTGGAACTGGAGTTACAGACAGTTGGGTGCTTGGAATTGAACCCGGGTCCTCTAGAAGAGCAGCCTGGCTCTTCAGTCCCGTGTATGTCTTCCACATGTAGTCTGAAGGTTTTTATTTTTATTTATGCATTTATTTGAGACAGGGTCTCATTATATAAATCATGCCATCCCAGAACTAGGTAGCCCAGGCTGGCCTTAAGTTTTCAATCATCCTACTTCCCCCTCTTAAGTGCTGGGAGTACAGGCATAACACCTCTGTGCCTGACACCTGAAAGTAATTTTATACAGTAATTTTAGTGTGTCTGAGTTTTGGTTATGACCCATTCCATTTTGGGATTTTTCAGTGTTGATGGAAAAGGGTCTTCAAAGGTGTTGGGGACATTGGAATTTTCAGACCAGATGCTCAAGCAGGACAGCTGCACAGCTGGTGCACAGCCTTCTAGCTTCATGTCCAAATAAAGCCCTCCCTTATGCATGTTAATCCCTCCATGATTGTTTGCCCAGTTTATGGACTAACTCAAACGTTCACAGGGTGACGGATGTCCTGCCCCACCCTACACTAGACTACAGCCTGACAGAAGAGCCAACTCCATTTTCGTGACTTATGTTTTATTAGTGAAAGTGTCCATGGGTACAGCCTGGGTGCAAGTAAGACAGTGCCATCTCAGTACTCAGCCCTTGGAGCAGTGTTTCCTTTGTAGTTCACTTGGTCTCGGTGAATGAACTCTGTGTGTCTGAGGTGTGGCAGCCAGGGAGGGGAAGGGAGTTTTCAAACAAGGGCTTCCTTCCCGAGCTGGAGCAACTGGTTGGTCAGGGAATGATTTGGGAGTGGACTGGGGGCAGTGGCACCCATTAGGTAACTTACTCATTTCATGTAAACACAGTTGATGGTGACTGGGGCTGTTTTCCTAAAACCTGTCTGCACAGGTCCCCCCCCCCCCCCCCCCCAGCGCAAGGTCTGGCTTGCATCTTCTTTGATAGCACATCCTAAAACATGGATTTCCACCCTTTGTGTGGGCTGTGGGCCGACTGTCGTGAGGGGCGAGGTGATGTCTGCGACTTGAGAATGAATGGAGCTGAACGCTAAGCATAGTCCGCTAGATTCTGCTGTCTTCAGTGTTTTGTTTCCCTGCCACGGTGTATAGTTCTGAATTTATTCATTGGCTTTGGTTCCATTGAAGTCTGAGTCCCGAGCGTCCATTTCTTCTTCAGAACCATCCGTGTTTTCAATAACTCTGCGGCCTCCAGCCCTTCTGGAAGGAACAAATGAGGCCTCATTTCCTCGCCTATGGATTTAAAACAGAAAATACACATCTTTAGTAAGGAAATCTCCCAGGAGATTGGAAGAAGTGCTTATCAAGGGCTGAGACCAAACACACACTCAGCATGAATTAGTCACAAACAAATTCAGGGTGAGTCCCAGCCAGTCTTAAAAGTCTGAGTGGTTTTATTTATTCAGTTGGCATGAGATTATTGGCTTTAAATACGTCTGGTTTGGTCATTTCATGACACTTAGGGTTCTGCTGTGCCAGAGCACTAGATTGGAAAGAGAAAAAGGACAAGACGGGTGGAGAGTCGCACACACAGGCCTGATAAGAAAGTGTGCTGTTTTATCTACAGATTTCTGTCTTGTGGGAATAAAAAGGCATGGTTTTAGGTTTTCAGAATGACTCTAAAAGCATAGTGGAGTTACACAGAGGACATTTCTTAGTTGAAGGGGGTGACACAGCACTCTCCCCTGCCCTCAGATCTGCCATGGTGGGGAGAGGGTTTCTGCCTTGAATGTGCATGATGGGACAAGTGAGTGCCCACTGAGTATTTGGAAATTGTTATTCTGAGGTGCACGTTTACTCAGGGCAGGGCGGCCCTGAGCCTTCACAACTGTCCTCAGCCTCTGGTCTGGGGTGAGAGAAGCAAGTGGGGAAAAAGGGAAAGGTAAGTATACTCACAAATACCCTTTGCTATTTCACAAAAGGTTATGTGTGGACTTTCAGTGACGTAACATGTGATCTTGTTGGGCCCCCACCAGCCAGCCCTATTTGACCTGAATTTGAAAACAGGTGCTAACACATTTTTGTACAGTTAAGAAAGCTGATGTTGGGTAATGAAAGCAACTTGCTGGCCATACGAAGGCTGGAGGGAAAAGCCATGAGGGTGTGCCCACCCAGTAACCCATTCTTTAGTCCAAAAGGATCAGCTCAGACAGGTGACATGCCAGAGGCATAAGCAGGCCCAAAGCTTATTGTCAGCAGGTAGGGGAACTCCCAGTGTGAACCTTTTGGGGTTTCCCAAGACAGCAATCAGGAATAAAATCTTCCAAAGTAAGACAGACACCCTGGCCAGCTTCAGGGGGCCACTGTAGAAAGGCCACTTCCTTGTTAGAGGATGAACAGCCTGTGCCCATTTCTTTCCAGTGCTGTGGGTCAGTCAGAGAGAAGCCTAGAGTGTCAGTGGCCCTTTCTTCACACAACTATACTTTACTTCAGAACTGGAACCCACTGGGGCTAGAAACCATGGTTAAGTCTACATCAAGGCTTTAGTTACTTTGTGGGCTTTGGGACAGTCTATATTTGCTGACTCAAAAGGTTTGTCCCTTGATCTCAGAAACAAGTCGTGCCCTAGTTATCAAATGCAGCATGGTTCCAGTGCAAGGATCACTATTGGAGTAAGTTTTCCCAAATTCTAGACAAAAGGTTGATACCAGCCAGGAAGTGGTGATACATGCCTTTATCCCAACACTTGGGAGGCAGAGGCAGGTGGATCTCTGAGTTTGAGGCCAGCCTGGTCTATAGCGCGAGAGCTAGTTCCAGGACAGCCAGGGCTACACATGGAAGCCCTATCTTGGGAAAAACAAAAACAGGTTGATACCAATTACCAATTATAGGAAATAGGGGGACCCTGCCAAAGGTTTTCTTAGAGGGTCTCATCCTGGAGAATTGTGGGTATTTCCAGATACTTGGAGTTTAGTCTAGGCCCTGTGAGCAAAACAGGCTTACTTAGAGTGGAAGCTTCTGCTATTTTGCCAAAGTTTTGTCTCCTGTTGACTGGAGAAGGCTCTTCTGCTCCCCCTCGTATTCTTGGGGATGCTCTCTGCAAAACCTCAACCACCTTTAAGTATTTGGCAACAAGAGCAAAATTAAGTTCTACGAAGAACAGGAAAATACAAGCAAAGGTGTCCTTGGCCTCAATATTATGGGCGTCTGGGAACTATATCA